GTCTTATTTAATAGTAGGGAGGACATCGAGAAAACACAACAAAGGTGAAAACCAAGTGGGATGCATTCTCGAGGGAAATTTTTCTTTGAGTTAACTTTGAACTTTCGAGTTTCTACAAGCACAGAATAGAAGCTGTTACTCTATTGGGACTTTCTTGCACGACTTTTGGGAGATTCGAGTCACTTTTAAGACGATGCAAACTGGAACATACAACTTTCTCGTGCAAAATTTTACTCGTAATTCCTTCAATTTACTTACTTTAGATATTTATTAATTTTACTTTTTCATTTGTTTTGCATTGTTGTTTATTTAATATATCTTGCTTTGAACCACATTGCTTTTTGCTTTTTTTTTAAATAAAAACAAATTCAAAACATATTTGTTATAAATTTATGACATTTTTTTATACATAATCCCCAAGTGATTGTAAATCATTAAAATTTATTGCCATATTAAAAACTAATGTATTTCAAAAACACATTGTCTGTTTGCGGTTTTATAGAATAAATCATGTTTGATGGAAAGTAAATGGCCTTGAAATTTGAATATATCTGGTATATTATAAGAGTTAAAATTGATTGAAATAATTCATGTAATACTTTATCATACTAACAATTTTGGTCTAGTAACAATTTAATCGATCAAACTTTGATCTTTATTAATTTTCTTCAAAAAATATTTTCCCTAAATTCATTTTATCAAAGTGATAAAACTTGACGTTGTATTAATCTTGTCGAATTTCCATCATATATTATAAATGAAGGGATGATAATAGAGGATTAAATAAAAATTTTCAAAGTTTTTAAAAAAGTTATTATTAAATTAAATATTATTATCTTAGTGTGTTCAAAATTTTTTTGTTATTAATTTTAATTTTTCTCTGTAATTGTTGTATTTTAAAGTTCACTTCGTTATCCGACATTTGCTTCTCACAATAGTGCAGTTGACATAAAACTAGCATATAATATTTTCGCTAGAATAAATAATTTATTTTGTCATTGTAAATTTATTCTACTAATCTTAAACGTGTCATTTTCTTTTTAACTTTAATGAATATTATCTAATCCGTGGTGATTTTAACTAATTCATTCAGAACGTTCTCAACTATCACCAAACTTTGTTAACTGTTGTAAAATCCTCTTCTTCGTGTACTCGAAACATGCTTAAAAAAAATTTCTCAAGTTCTTAGATGTAAAAAAGAAAAAAAAAGAACTTGCTAGATAAAAGCTTTCAACTACGAAGAATTATGTCTTACTTTCATAATTAATATTGTTAATCATAATTTTGTGGTAAAAAAAAAAACGGATGAGTGAATTAAAATACAAAAACAAGTGGTAACAAAGAGGAAAAAAGTACAAGTACTATCTGTAATAATTGATTTGAACAAACATGAAACGCACATGAATGAACATTTTTCTGTACATCGGAGTGTCAAATCGTTTAAAAAATGTATTACAGTTAGTGAGTTGTCTCGCAAAAACACGTGGCATATTTCGTTCATTTTATTCGTTGAATTTGATCTCGTATTTTCTATTCAGTGACGCCGCACATTTATTAATGATTTAAAAACAATTTGAACTAACATGCGTGAATGTATATCATTTTCCATGATATTTTTTGTTTCAGAGATGTGTTAACTGTTTTCAATATAATTCATCAAAAACAAAAATATCTCATTGGTCGAATAACCGGAAGTGTAAGAATTCTAAACGAAAACAGGAGAGATAAAATAATAAAAAGATAGGAGAGAAAAAAAAGATCGTGTGCAAGTGAAGTGAGAAAAGAAAAATCTCATTACACTGTCGGCATCCTTGCGGAACTTTCCACGGAAGACGAATGCATCGTTTTTCTTTCCTCTCAACTCGAATTTTTTTTCTTACTATCCAAGAACTCGGTAGGCAAAGGCGTCGTCGTCGTCGAGTGAATCGCGATAAGTATCCTCGACACGTCGCGGTCGCTTCTAACGTCCGTGCACGGCAAAATTGGTCTTCTCCGTAAAGCCGACGTTTTCTAGAATTTTTCATTTTTCACGGCTTCTATCCTACATTTAAGCTCAGCTTTTACCAACCATCTTCACTGAAAATTCTTCTCGCGATCTACAACCTCTTGAGAATCTCAAATCTCAACAAACTGACCAAGTAACCTGGCGTGGATAACACCATATGAATTGTGTGCTCCACAGGAAAGGTGAGGAACGAAAACATGAAATATGTTTTTTGAGGATCAGCTTGAATTTTGTAATTCTCGTGGATTCGTTGAGAAGAATTTATTTTTAAATGGATACAAGTACTCGAGAGATCTAGAACAACCAATATGCAAAAAAAGAGGAATTATTTCTAACGGAAAAATATCTATTTCAAATATTTAAAACTAAATATTTACTTACTTTCATTTATTTATAACGAAATACTTGTATAGTAAATATTAATTGAAAAAGTTTTTTTTGACTATTAGTAAGTAATATATTTTTTTTTAATTGATAAAATCAAAATTTTGAACAGTCGCAATAAAATATTTACTTGAAATTGGTATGGTAACATTTTTATAAATTCAGTTCTAATTAGTTATTTGGAATAATTAAAAAATACTTTTTTATTGTGCTCGAATATTTTGAATATAATTAACTGAGTAATGGTTTATTTTAATCTTTCATTAAATTGAACATTTTTATTTCAAGTCCCATGGTGTCTCAGAAAGTAATAATTAATTTAATGTCACTTTTATTTAAACTTATCATAATCTTTAACCAAATATCAAAATACATTTTTCAAGCAAAATGTTGTTCAATTCAATGGTATATTTTATTAACAATCTTTTTTTTTTACTAAATGATTTTTTTGTTGTAAAGCAAAAATTTTTTTCTGAGTGCACTGTAAACCCAAGGTGTTACAGTAAATTTATTTACACGTGTTCAATGTTAAACTTCGTAAACAAACTATAGATTTTAACACACCTTCGATTTACAGTTTGTATCTGATGTTTTGTTAGTTTAGTGGAATAATGACAAACAGGAAGACTAATAAAGCCCAGAGCAAAGCTCGATCAGTTCTCTATCTGTTCCAAAACTGACCTTTAAGCCTTCCTCTGAATTCAGAATAATTATTGCATCTTTGAACGCTAAAAAAGGTGTTTAAAATTAATTCAGACGTCTAGACTAAACTTGAATCCTAAATATTAATCCATTACATGAAATAATGAATACAAACCTTGGAGTATTATATTAAAAAAATAATTTTTTAATTATAACAACGTTTTTTTTTTATAAGGCATCAGCTTTCAGACAGAATAAATTGATGATCTCCTAGATGATGAACTTTTATTGGAAATTTCTATAATAAAGTTTGAAAGTGTAACTAATCCGGTTAATTGATCAACTAATATTAAAAACTCATTAATAATATCCACTCTTGGACACAATTAGGCTAAGTTGGTATTAATGGAGTCAATAACTCATTCAGTATTACTGACTTTATATTATTCCAATTTTAACAATGCATCTCTGAGTGATGAATCAAATTTGGTTGACACTGTAAAAGTTAATTTTTCAATGATCCAAAATATGCGATGTAGCTGAAATAACATAATAATAGAAGTGGCAATTGTGGTTATAATTAAAATTATTACCTTTATCACAATTGTAGTGTGTAATGATTTTAATTTAGCGAATGCATTTGATTGAGGTAATCAGGAAAATGATCAATAGTATTTTATACAAAAGTTATTTCGAGTATTACAATGGAATTGCTGTAAATAATTGACATTTTTAATTGTTTAGTTTTGATAAATGACCTCCACTGTAAATCTAAGTGTTTAGAAACTAAACATTTAAAGTGATTACAATGTTAAACTTTTGTTTTTTATGGCGTTCAAAATTGTAAACATTTAGGTGTTTAATTATTAAGGACTTTAAGCATTTTATAACCAAATATTTTAATTTTCCCGGATTTTCAGTGTTTAAACAGCTGAATGTTACAAATTTTTTAATCAAGAATTTTAATTTAAATCTCCCTGAATACTTTTTATTTTTAAAAAAAATTTAATTACTAGTGAATTAAAAATATTTGTTTTATTTTCAATTTTAAATTAAAAAAAAAATATTTTATTTTTAATTTAAATAAATATTGTAACATAAATAAAAGTCTTTAATGACATTTGAATAACATTGGAATAAATTTTTTCTTCTAATACTCTTGACTGATTGATTATCTTATGAATAGAAAATTATAAAGCAATGATTGATTCAGTACTTGTACGATAAAAAATTGACTCGATATAGTTTACGTGTATATTTTTACAACGTACGTATTCTGGGTCTCTTGCGTGTAATTGTAGCTACAATATCGATCAGTCATAATTTTTGCTCGGCGTTTAATCAACCAGTGACTACGGTGGTACGTATAATTTACAGAGGAAGAAAGATGAATAAAGGTATAGAGAAAGGATGAGAGAATGAAAAAGATGGGTGGTTTATGTGAATAGCCTCAGGGACCGGCATTTTTGCTTGGTTCACGTAAACTCAAGTTGACCCTGGAGTTAACCCCAATCGACCTTCTTAAAAATAGTAAAGCATCTTTGTCATTTTGACAGGATATCATTTTATTAAATATTTCTCAGTAATTTCATTTCGATCATCTCAACAAAAGACATTTGAGTATTTTTATTTTATTTTTAATTCTAGTTTTACACCTGATGTGAATAATAAATTAAAAAATTTAAATACAATTTTTATTAAATTTTTCAAATAAATAAAATATTTTATATATTTTATTACTTACAATTATTCGAATTTATGAATTTTTTATTATTTTTGGATCGTTTTGGAAAACAAATTGATTGATAATTTGATAAAAAAATAAAATTACTTGAAAAATGTAAGCTTAATTGAATTAAAAATAATTAATTTTTTATTTATCAATTGAATTTAAAAAATCACCGCATTTGTTGATGACTTTATAAGCATTCAAAAAATAAAGTGTGTCCATTATTTTCATCTGTTACAGATAGAAAGAGTAATGACGTCAAAAAAAGTGAACTGCTAAAGTTTTCATGTGATGAAGCTAACAATTACGAGTTGTCCTGCATATTTAATGGGCTCCTGAAAATGGTCTGAGTTGAGAAAAGCCGTACAGTAAATTTGTGCGAGAATAGAGAAAGTGGAAAAATTAGTGCCGTCCTCACTGTCAAAAAAATGTATAAACTTCTTCGTCGCGGCTCTGGCCGTATGTTTATTTTATGTGTCGTCCTGTTGTCTTTGTTACTGTGTCTATATTACGTGAGTCAGATTCAGGCACCGTCGACGGGTCAAGCAACACCACTTCTAGCAGCACCTGTGGGTGTGAGATACGATAGACCATTAACTACCCTCGTGCCTGACTACAGTGAACCACCTGACGCGAGAGTTGCTGCAGAAAGTTGTCCACTAACACGACCACGAAATGCAGACATTGATACTCAGGAGGAATTCTCAAAGTTTGACTTTCAGGTAAGTTCATTATAGCAACATCACAATTATAGCTTAATTATCTTATTTATCGGATTATCTTCTGTTTCACTGCCAGAATATATTATTTGTTCTTCAACAACATTTTTATTTATCTCTTAACTCCTCATTCTCTAAAATTAATCCAACTATTGATTTGTTTAATTATTTGTGTTATGATAAAGAACATTTCTAAATTTAAATAGTTCAATTACATAGTTTGGATTTCTGTTGAATAATTATTTCCTAACAGTCCATATATAAGACTTAAAAATAACATATAAAATTTTTTCTCCTCTCCATTGTCGTATTTTTGTCGCGATTTTTTTCCGATGTGTTCCACTCGAATTCATCCGAAGCGAATAAAATAATTACGAGTACGAGCCGTGGAAAAGTGCGGAGACAGTGGTATACCGAGGCAACTCGATTAAATGTCGCCTCGGGCAGTGCCGCGATTCGTTTTAATTACACGCGGCCGACTCTATGGGACGACGTGACACATTGGCGTACGTCGGGAAACGAAACGACGCGTCTGCAGCATCGTTTTGTCCTTGTACCATATACGTATTTACTCGTCGTAAAAATTTTTCGTACATTCTTCTTTTCACTATTTTCATCTCTGAGAGAAGGAAAAGGAAAACAACGAAACAAAAAAAAACCTTTCTTTTTTTTTTTTTTTTAAAGACAAAAAGTAAAACAAACAAAAAAGATTCATGATTATTTAACAAATATTTTTTCTTAATGTAAGAAAATTTTAATAACACCTAAATGAATGTTAAGTTTGTTTATATAATTTTGAATGAGTAATTTTCTACTTTTAGAATATTTGAAATTCTTTACAAGGTCTAACTGAAGATTTTCAAAGAAATCAGCTGTGAGTACCCTTTTAAAGACGCCCACTTTCTCTTTAGTGCTCGCTAAAATTATTCCAGTCGAGAAGAGCGATTATAAAGGAGGAGAGGTGCCGTGAAAATGTCACGCGAAAGAGCTTTTCGCCTTTGTCTTGTTGGTGGAGAAAAGACTCATAGAAATTTTTTTTTTTTTCTTCTGTTTGTGTTCTTCCTTTCCTCACACCGCAGTGAGGCTCAACGTCATTGGATTCAGTCTGAGAAAACGTTGAAAAAGTACTAAAGATGCAAATTGGTCGTGTAATTTTCGCTAGCCCGGTGTTGCCAGTAAGAAAATAAGGGAAGAAAAGATAAGAAAAATATAGAAAGGAGACGACAGAGATTGCAAATACAATGATTACATTATATGTATAATCAGACTAAACTCGTGCCAATAACTATTATATTACTGACAGATTTCTCTTTTATTCTTTGACCACTTCTCGGCCATTTAAACAAAATCAATACTATACGTGTATATACGCTTGAGTTACTAGAATAAAAGCAATAGCGATCAACGTTCTATGCAAACCACTCAACCCCTCTTCTCTTCTCTTTGTTAATCGTTTCTCGCGCAGACTAAAATGTAATGGTTGAATATGATGTGATGCACTCGTATATACTAACTATACTACTGAAATTACACATTTATTTGATCAATGTTTAACATACTTACACGTTACCTCTATTAACAAGTTATTCATTTGTTCACCTCTTTTTATTTTTAGATTATCTTTTTTCTCAACTGCTTCCATTTTATTTTACATTATGGCAAATTGGAAAAATCATTCCCTGTCATTTGTTATATTTGTCAGATGAGATTTGTCAATTAATTTATTACACGGGATTTTAAAAATTTTTTTAAATAATCCCACAGGGTTAATCTTTTCTTACACTTGACTATTTTGACATAATCATCAAAATATAATTGTATTCTTTTTTTCATCAGAGTTTTACTTGATAACAAATTAAAATTTTATCAAAACCAAAACAATTATTATATTTCATGTAGATGATTTATTTAATTTCTTTGAAGAAAATTTTAAAATATTACATTCTAGTTTATTTATCATCAAATTTTTTTATTTATTTTAAATCATTAATATAAATATTTCACTTAAGACTTTTTACTTATAATTATATTTATAATTAGACAAGATTATTGTTATTATAAATAAATTGGCAGAAGCTAATCCCCTTTTGAAAGCTGTTAGTCATAAACAAAAAAGGTTTTAAAATATTTTATTTAAATATTTATTCAAAAAATTATTCTGTTCAATTCATTTGAAAATAACTCAAATTTTTTAAACTCTAAATTTTTTTTTATAATTTTTCAATCAGTAACGTGCATTTTTCCCATAGCATTCATAAGTTTCATGGAAATTAAGCTTTTATTATTTTTTATTGAACCATAAAGAGTGATTATAATCTCTATGAACCATTTAGAAGCTTGGAAATATTTTTTTTTTTTCATTAAAATCCGATTATTATTGATAAGAAGATAAAATTTGTACGAAAAACTAAAAGAAATTATGATGATACATGAAAAAAAAAAATTCGCTTTAAAATTCCAGTAGAAAGAGATTGATTTATTAATGTAAAAGATAATCAAAGTTTGTTGAATTTTTCATTTGAAAACCATGTTTTGCGTGACTGTTATTTTTTTATAGTCGTTTAAAATCACAGCTATAAAAAAACTTGTAGATTTCTGATGTCTAATCATTGAAATAATATATGAGAAATAAAAGGAATTGCCTCGTTGAAAAAACAAAAAAATAATAACAATAACGTGTACAATACACGAGTCTATAAAAATGTACCAATCAGGAAGACAATAGAGGAATAGACAAAAAATAATTGGTTAATAAATTGACTAAACGTTAAAAAAAAAAAAGAGGTAACAAAGTATAATTTAATTTCCACGTATATTAATTCTGGTGAATGATTAGATTAGGGAACCTTTTTGCAACATAAAAGAATCTAGAAGTGATGTTTTTATGTTGGAATGATATCATTGAACTCATAATAAAAATATATTCACCCTCAATAAAGACAATAATGTCATAAAAAAGAACACAATATCATTACCTACTTTATTTATAGATTTTTTAGAGTAGCAGAATATTTTCAATTGAATAAAAAAGCAAGTAATTTAATTTTAGAATTTTCAAAGTCTATTTTTAGAATTAAAGTCCCTAGACTATTTGAACACAAAATATATTTAAACAAATTCAAGTTAATGAGGTCCAATTTAAATTCAAATTATTCGCAATAAGAAGAATTCATTAATTAACATAAGGATGCGTAAGACAGACATGTCGCTAGACAGGCTAGACAAACGAAAACTTGTGACACATAAAGGAATTTATCATCCCTGAAATGTGGATTGTAGATGGAAGTAGGAAGCTTCTAAAGATTCATAGAGCACAACAGAAGGTCTCGTAAGACTTGTCTTCTGTCTAGCAAACACATAAAATAACAAGAAAAATAAGACAACCCAACAACAATGCAACGTCAACAACGACGCCTTGTGCGACGTTTTCCTGACGGGTTCAACAGTGACCTCGCGTGACGTACATTCATTTGCTTTCCTGAAATTCGTAAAAGACATGAATGCAGAGGATCTTAGTATAGTAGTAGTTGACCTCGATTTGCCACTTTCAGGTGAACTTTATGACTGAAAATTGCTATATTCGTCGGAGTCAAACTGATAACATACCTGAAAACTAATGTTTAATATGTAGAAATTATAAAAAATGAGTTGAATGGGATAAATTAATTTTACAATTTTGCCTGAGCATAAACTCATTTGATAAGAAATAACTAACTTGGTATTTTTTTGTTCTATTTATCTACAAATTTTATCAATGATAAATTCCTTCCAAGTTTGCCAAGTTTTTATTATCCATATCATTCTTAGTAATCACCTTGCTGTGATTAAATAATCAGAAAAAATTTATTAATAGATGATGAATTTTTTTGAAGATTATTTTACAAGATAATAATTAATTATTCTATTTGCTTTGACTACTGATTACCATTTATCACTTGAATCATTTAACGCTATTCATCACATTATCAAACCTCAGAAGATCATCCAACTTTTTCCTAGTATTTTTTTTAATGATTCTTTAAAAGAGCTATCATTTTAGTAGATGAAAATTTTACTACTGAAAGCCATCAATTCATCACTAAAATTTGATGGAAAATCTTCCGAAATACCTTCTGATACAGCTGTATTAGTTGGGTTCCTTTGATAACCGTCACTGATCATCATGTGAATTTCAATAAAGTATGTTATTTAATGGTTCTATTCCATATTTACAAACTTCAAAAGATGCTTCAATAGATTTTATCAAACCCAATAAATTTGATTAGTGAATCTATTTGTGGTAGTAATACTAAACCACACAGTTGTAATTCTCATCAAGGTAAAATCGGACTTCATGACAAAGACTATTGAGACTAATTGAAGATCAAGGAAACTGGTTGGACGTTCAGATAATTGAGTAATTGATAATTAAATGCCTCTTCTATCAACTTCCTGATGCTCTGCTTATTTTATATTACATCTTACTTCATACAAGATAATCAATCAGGCAAGACTTTCAAACTAATTCAGAAATTAGAGATCCTAGTATTGGAAATATGATTTTATTCCAAATGAAGCTATTCTGATCCAGTTATTTTATCCAAAATTTCATTAAATTAATTGAACCTGAATGACATTACAATCCTGCTAGCTATCTTCACATTCTTCTGATTGATTAATAATTATATTCTGATATTAAACAGTTGGTGTTGAAAGCATGTGCTTTATGATCTTACAAAATAAAACTAATCATCAAGTTTTTATCATAAATTTTTCTTTATTCAATTGAATTCGCATAACTAATGCTTCGTCTAAAAGAGCTTAGTTTAGAACACCTGAAAATTCATGAAAAGTCATTCAGTTTCTTGAATAAGGTTCAAATTGTTCTCCAATCGAATGGAGAATGTAGCAAGTGTAGGGTTTTCTGAGAATAAACTTCTATAGTTCATCTTGGAGAACAGTTTCCATTCTAATCAATTCTAATTTGTCTTTAGAGTTCGGTTCTAACCACTACAAGATCCAAA